AAAAGACATGGAGACACTGGGAATGTCGGTCGCCCGAAAGGGGTCTGATAGCTTGATCGAGTGGAATTTTGGGTACACATACGGTAATATAACAGTAATGTCTTATGAACCCATTGAATGGCAACCTTGAATTTGGCATCATTAGGAAGGGCGTAGTAGACTATTTTTAATGATGTAATATAGGTTGGGATTCATATGGTAGAGAGTGCATGTGTCCGTCACTGACGTCGGTCAAAGTGTTCGAATAAGTGGAACTTTGGCACTACTATCGCACAAAATATTAACATCTTGTCACGCCATTGAGTGCAAATCTTGAATTTGGTATCGTCAGAAATGGCATAACATGCCCTTTTTAATGAAATATTGAAACAACGAATTCCCGTGGTGGCAAGTGTCGATATTGGCCCCTGAACTTGATCAAACTATTTGATCAAATGAAGCCTATTCTTTCAGCTTATGAGAACAATGTTTCCAATCTCTTTAAAGTATGTAATCTCAGTTAAATTATTCCAGAATAAAGCTTTTATCTTTACTATAGGGGAAGTTATTATAGAAACAGTCTTGCATTTCCAGTCCGTATGGACGCTGGGAGCGAACATTAGGCCAAATTAAAATGCATCTATCTGGAGATCTGTGGGTGAGATAACTTGGTTGAAAGCTGTCCTAAAGGGACAGCTTTCAACCAAGTTCGATTCCTCTATGTGTTTAAAAGTTTTTGTCGAAATTCAAGATGGTTGAGCTCATTCGCTGGTCGAATTGGCGTGGAATTACAGAGGTGAAAATGGGCCTCCAAATGCATGCAGACTCGTTTTTCAATCATCGCCACCCTGCTTATTATTTGCTGTCTAGGAACCACAGTTATGCGTTACGAAATCCTGAATGACTTGACGAGCGTCATAAGTGATGGGTTGTCGTTACTTCATAAACTCTCGTAATTAATGATGTTGTGGCGTAGGACAGATGTACAACTTTTTCATGGAATTAGTGTCCGGGAGTTGATATCTGGACAATTCCTTGGGAAACGTTTATAAATGAATCGCTCTCCTTGACGGCCCAGAACATGAAGCCAGCGATTGATCATGGAGCTCCGTAATGCAAAAGCGTAGAGTTCTCTGGGGGGTTCACTGATCATGTTTTCCAGATCATCACACAGTTCCTGTAATTGCTATATCTATTTAAAAATAACTGTCAATTCACTCTCACATTAGTGGCAAGTCGTTTTTTCACATGGTGGCTTACTTTTTTTCTTCATTGTGCGTGGATAGAGGAATTAGATATGTGTCAAGCGTATATGGAACTGGCGGATTATGTATTGTTCTGTCAGTGCGAATTTGATAAGTAAAGGCACGCTGATCAGCAAGCAGTACATGAACACCAAAAAAGCTGGTCTCCGTGGCCGTTCTGTATGGTATTCCCAGACATTCGCTGGCTGCAACCCCTACGCACCAATCACGCTGAAACGGTGTAACACGTCACACATTGGATACTTTTTCTAATCTCCCTGAAGTTTGTTAAATAATACATTCCTCCTCTTATCCACCAGCAGTACTCATTGCTGAAAAAAACGCTTTAAAAAATAGTTTAACAATCCTAACTAAAGCTAGCACCCAAGTTTATACCAGAATACCATGAAATCGATTAGAGCTATAGGGGAGAGGGATGATTCTTCATGGAGAGAAATTGCCAAACACTTCCATCTCAATGGCGTTTTTGGGATCATACTTATAGCCCGAATACTTAGAATACATTTCATGAAAATATGGAGGCAAAAGAGGGGAAAACACTATATAGATATTTATTTGCTGCTTCTGATCTTTGTATTTAAGAAACAAGACTTAGGGAAACGAGATAAAAGCATCTGGTTGTAATTCATGTAGAAAATCATTAGTTCTATGTTTCAAGATATGTAATTGATGTTTCTATTTTATGACCTATCTATGTAGACGTATATCATAAATGAAAATTTATTTTAAAAGAAATACACGAGTAGATAAATAAGGCACATCTGCAGTAAATGGCCTTGCATTTACCTACACTTCGCATGGGTGTGTAAAACACATTCAAACTACCTTGTTGTGAATTGTAAGCATAGAAAGAAATAATACGCATTTTTTTATCCGGATCTGTCTAGAAATTGGAGAATGACCTAGCGGAGCAGCGTCCTCTCATGGGAGAAGTTAAAGACCTCGGTGAAAACCTATGTACGATTTTGTCCAATGACAAAGCACAAGAATGTATTAAGAACCGATGTAAAGATGTTGAACGGATGTACAATCATCTCCAGAAGGACATTGGTATGATATTCACAAATACGTGGCACCTGAAAATATGAATCAATTTGTAATGTGTTCTGATTACCATTCTTTCTATATCCTCAATTCAGAGAATATGAAAGCAAGGGCGGAGTCATCTCCAATAGGAAAGGAAGAAGGTCTGTTTATTCTTCATTACGACTGTTGTAGAAACAAGTGTTACAGAGACAAGCAATGGATCTCGTCAAAAATTGAGCTCACTATAATGAGGTAGGGTAGCGACGCCGACCGATCAGAAACCTGAATTCCAACATAACTTCATGACCTGACCCGACCTAGCCTGATTAAAATTAAAAACGTTATGCTCTTATCTGCTTGTAGTGGATAGATGTCTCTCTCCTACTTTCAACAGCCACATTATATTATACTCGGTCAGTCGCTTGGGAGCAATCCTATTGCAAAACCGACTTTACACGGCCAGTAAGAGACGGATCGTTTAGGCACAGGATCATTGACAAGCACCAGACAGGGCAGTCATACGCTCCGATATTTTGAGCCATAAATGCAAAATACTCGAGAGTAGCAGCAAAATATCAGGAATTTCGTAAGATTGGAGGCGAAAAGAAGAGAGGACGTCAGTAGATGAAGCTTTTTCCGAATCAGCATCACCCTTGTTCAGCATCACTTTGATGATGAGCACGCAGAATATCCAAGGTCTCGCTTATGCTAGGAATATGTTTTGCATCAGTTGAAAGAATACTGAAAAATAATGTATTCGCAAAGAATACGTTCAACAATCTATCTCGTAGCATTAGGAGTATTATTATTTAAAGTTCGAGGAATTTCTCTTGTAGACAATATTCGTGTTAGGTTGACATGCAAAGAAAACTGTACACATGGGCTACTGGAAAATCCGGGCGATTTGCTCGGGTCAACCAAAGGTGGTGCTGATGCAAGACAGAGCCCCATACCACACATTTGACTTTACCTTCTGCGTCATGAAAGAGAGTATGATAAAGGTTTAGAGTTAGTTACCTGATGATCCTGATGTGAAGATGGTTTTCTTTTATCTCCATTTGTTAAAAAGGCAAAAAGGTTAATATGGATTTTTTGCATGTGGTGAAATGGCAATGCGTTCTCACAATTTCTGCACTTTGTTACGGAATCCCCCTTCGTCGATGCCCTTGGCCCACTGCAAAGTGACCTCTTGAACTTCGAGGTAGTCCCTGAAGCTGCGCTTCTCGAAGTCTGCCTTGAGCCTATTGAGGAGAAACCGTTCACAGAGGTTGAAGTCGTGGCTATAGAGACTCTGAAAGACAGTTGTGACGTTTCTGTCTGCTAAAAAGTGCTTGACTTGCGAGGTGTGATGTCACGCATTGTCCCATTGCCAGAGCAGGTGAGACAAATGAATGGTCTGGAGCAGAGACAGCGCCAGTAGTTCATAGGCGCCGAACCCAGGGGGACAAAGGGGCACGTGCCCCCCCAACTATATCATTGAGGGGGCAACGCCCCCCCAAGAATGGTCAAATTTCAAAAAAAGTATAGCACGTGAAAAATTGGAAACAAAATTCTGCTTCACGAAAGAAATGAAAAATATGATTTTCCTTTCTGTTTAGAGCTGCAACTGGGGGAGATCCCTGTCTCACCCCATAAGGGTATGGGTGGGTATGCCATGCGCCCTTCTTTAACCTCTTCTTTAACCCCCTCTGTCGATAAAATTCAACTGTCTCGTATTCCTCTCAGAGAGAATCAACAGGAACGGTAGTATTGGCATACTTCTTCCTCTATCAACACTGAATCGCTCCTGCAAATGTGATGTTCCATCTCCCCAGGATTGTAAAAATCATTGAATCTCACTTTCTGGAGATGTGAATTTTGTTCAGGTATTTTTTTTCCCCCCCCCCCCCCCCACCCCGCCCCTAGGTAGCCACTCCTGGGAAGTTTTCAGAGAATGTGAACTACCAAATGAAAGATATTGACATGAAGGTGACGAAAAGTCTCCTTTTCTGCCCCCAATGTACCATGTACCAAAAAAATTAATTAGATGACGATAATTTAGTTTAGCGCGATGGCTCCGGTCTCGTCCTTCAGTGTTGCTGGATATCACGCTAGAGATAGACCAGATTCATGACTTCTTCATCCTAAAAATCTGTGTCTGGATCTTCTGTTTTTTTATTTACAGGATTGGCCAGAAGTAAGGAAACACGTTTGAACTCTGACAAAACTTTTATGGAAAGCAATAAACAGTGGTACGCACAAAAGCACATGTTTATGAAGTATTCAAAACCATAAATATTTTCATGAAAATTGTTGTATGTGTCAACTGTTAAAGTTTTTTACAAGTACAGTTTTACAGGTAGTTATAGGCAAACTCGATGGCCTCGAAGTCTCGAGTCTCGATCGAATCTCGAAGTACTCAATTCGAATTCTAAACTGAGGGTTCTATTCATGATGTGATTGTACTCAATAGGGTACTGCGTGCATCATGCCACTAGGGAGATCTCCTTGGGATCATCGAACTTTCATTCACTCTCATGGTCCAATCGATGTTAACGTTCTTTCAGGCACTGGAAAAGGGAGGAGGTACTATAATGTCCAAACATTGTCAACTCAACGTTGACAACGTTACTCAACAGCAGCTCTTCAATGCAGAACTTTGTTTCATTTCAACTTTTTCTCAGCACTGAAGCAAATTGTTGCGTTGAAAATCAACATTTTCTCAATGTTGAGAAAACTTTGAGGTGCTAAATGGGTGAATAACTCCTTATTAAGGAGAATTACGTAAATGGTGCAGATAAGTTTGAGTATTGACCATTGAGATGCACTGGCTCAACTTCACTCCAATTTAGGTGAAAGTGCAACTGAAACCCTCGGATGTCCATTATTCGTGAACTGTCAAATGTTCCTCATTCAAATGACAAATGGCAGGCACTATTCTCATTCACCTCATTATGGAATCAATTGCAATGGGCGCGCAGCAATTTTCACATTCAGATAGAAAATTGGCTATGGTGCCAACAGTGTTTTGCACGTCAGCTTCATTTCCTGCTCCCAGAACTTTTTTTTTCAAAGAAAACGATCGAAAATAGTTTTCTTGATTTTAATACTTTGATGGAAATTTTTCTATGCGTGTAAATGGTGAAGATCGCAACTTGGGCACATCTGACGATGAAAATTTTTTTACGTTGAAGATGTGGACTGGGCGTTTTGCTCAGTCTTATCTTCCAAGAATGTCTTTAGCATGAGAGTGTAACTGACAAAGTAAGAAATTATTACACATTATGCTAGTTTGAGCACAAATGTTTGCACACATTCAAAAGATGTGACAGACGTCGCATTCATGACGTTAACATGCATATATTCTGACTCGTTGGATCATCACCCAACACTTTTCAATCAGTATTCCTTGAGAATTTTTCGTTGAAGCTAAAATAAATATGCTGCAGGTCTCGGGAAGGTGCTACTGCATTTGTACTTCAAAGGTTATCAGAGAGCTATTTCATACGTACCACCATTGTTATTTCCATGATATGAATAGGCTTTTAGGAAAAACGAATGCAACTGTATTTCGTAAATAACTTCTGGGTTCTTCTGAATACCATGGACTCGCCCTAATTCTATTAAGAAAAGACTTATTCGATATTAATGCCATGCTTCCGATAATTATATAGTAGGCATTTACTTTACTCCAGTTACAATCAAGTTACGCTTGCTGACAAGCTTCATGACATTAGCACGGGCGAATGGGTTATATTATATTTAACTTCCTCATTGAAGGTTCATCCCTGGGAATGACGATAGAGGATGCTGGCGCAAACGAAATAGAGCGTCTTCAGGAATGGAGGAACGATGTCATTGGCTCAAGGAGACGACTTCCCGATATCACATATTCCATCATATCTTACTCCAAGTTCATTCTTCGGTTCGGTTTTATCATGGCTCTCATCTTGTCTTTGATTGTCTTCAGTATGTACAATGTGGTTCCAACGGAATACTGGACAAAAGTGCCTTCATCGAGTCTCATGAGGTATCACTCTGGTATGCTGATTCCCAGTCTGCATTTTGGTCTGAATTTTCCAATGTTGAAATAGTGATATGACCATGTGATTCTATTTCTTTAATTTTCATTGACAGAGCCAAATGTGGACTACAGGGGTGAGATGCAGCCCTATCATTTCTGGCTCTGCTTCAGATCCCTGTATCAAGTAAGATGGATTGCATAATAAGTAGCTGAGTTACGATGGTACAATAAACGACCTGATTATGCAATGATCAGACGAAGTGGTTGGGAACCCGATTATTCATATGAAATTTAATCCTTATCCGGTTTGCTCCAGTAAAGTCTGAAAAAAATGCTGAATGATACAGTGGCGGATATCTCTTTCGTGGGACATCGTATGAGCTTCATCTTCGGCATAGGCCTGACCAGAAAGTACAGTGAGATGCTCTATTAAGTTCCAAATGCGTCTCGTAAAATAGAAGAACGAAAGAGGAAATAGGAAATTTCACGATCCGGCACAACAATGAATGAATTGTTGAATCCGTCAGACTCTCTCTCCTTCGGCTCACATGAATATGAGCCATGCACTGCTCCGAATTTGTCGTGAGGTGTCGTTCATAAAAATGCAAAAAAGATGCGGATGTAATTTTAGTTATGTTCCATGGAAATAATGGAAGCCAATGTTTGCTAATGCGGCTGGCTTTAATCGGAGGTTCACTTTCCACAATACCTTCAATCCTTCAAGCGGAATGTTCCAAACGCTGGATAGTTTGGCTATAGGTCCGGAGCGGTCTCTATTAGTGGATATCTAGGGAGTTTTTTTTTATTTCCGGTTCATACAGTCCAACCTTATTTTGTATCATATTGATTTAAATGTCCTACTCGATACCAAAAATTCCCTTGTGCGTGCAAAAGACCCGTCCGTTTCTCCATAAGGTAATATGGGGAAATATGGCCATAGAAAACAAAACCTGGTCATAACGGCCTATAAAGGTCTTATTTGACTTTTAAAATGATTTTAAAATACTGATTGATATCTCCTTTACTGAGTCCCAGCAAGGAATATGCAAAAAAACCATGAATATGGTGTCTAGGGATCTTGTTCAAGTTGGTCCCACGAGGCCATATTAGCCCTACAGTGGGGGGAGTAGGGACACTTCCAAAAAAAAACAACTCCAGGCTTTCCAGGAACGTCTGATATATGCTGGAATATGATGAATACCTTGAAATATAATAATAAGAGATGCTCAGCAGTTGAAATAAAGAAAACACTAACTGCATTGAGAACGAGCAAATGAGTCAACATCATCACCTTACTCGATGGAGCGTTGTGGAAAGCAGGATTGCAACTCGTTTGCTTTCATGTAGCATTACACATGATTCGGAGACTTTATCTAGAGATTGTGTGTAAGAGAAGTGATCACACATAGATTGAAGTGAACATGCGCTACGAGCGTGAAATATCAGGTCTTACATTGCTGGAAAAACGTTTAATAGTTTTTGCATGCATTCATAAATAGTGCCTAAAAATTCACAGAATGCTCTTTTAATTTCATTGTACAATATATATTTATTTCCCTTCAAATGTCATGCCATGAAAATTCCTGGAGTTCTCAAGCGGATGTCCAGGAGACAGTGCATGAGCATATCCTTATGCACCGGTTCCTCATGTACTGCATATTTCGTCCAGATGATCTGTACGTCACTCTGGTATCCAGAGGAAGTACATAAGTTATCTTTCGCTGCCTGAGGTACCAAATGAAAGGAAGCTGTTACTACCAACTGGATCAGTGGGGTGCTACCATGAAATCAGGATGACGATATTCCCCCAGGTTGGCTTGCATGAAAAAATTAACAACACTGTCTGCAAACCACAAGTGAAGGGGCTAGCACTTCGTGCAAACCTTCTGGAGGGACCATAGAAGATCTTTCAAGAAATGGTTTCAGCTTCCATGCTGATATTAGGAAATATACGTTTAAGTTGCTCGAGGCTCATTTTAAATGCAAGATCATGAGTTGAAGTATGGGATGCATATGACTTTCAAGACATCGATGTATCCCGAATTATTCAGGTTAATTCATAAATAATTTCCGTTTGGTGCCAACTGTTTTGAAACGATTGTAACTTGTTTCAAGTTTGACGCGATAAATCGTGTTATATGTCATTCGATCGAGAAAACTGTAGACTTTTTGCTAATATGCAATTCATTGTCTTTCCAATTTTATGTTGAAATAATAAGGGTAAAATGGATGATGAAAAAAAACGCGTATTCGGCAGTGCATTTTGTGGGAGTTCCAGTCTCAAGGATGAACCACGTCCTGGTCGCCCTTCGGAGTTCGATAGCGATGCATTGGAAGTGTTAATCGAGGCTAACCCACGTAAAACCCATGTTCCCAACTTGCTGACTTTTCCAAGAGCAAGAAGGCAGCGAAATACGGTTGGTTGGGAAGTACCAAGTTCTTCGTTCAATTCTTAGGTGGATTTACGTGGGCTGGCTTCGATTCAACGATCTCCAAAAGGCGACCAGGACGTGGTTCATTCTTAAGCGATAATTTTCTTGACCGAAACTTTGTGAATCAATTCCTGCACTGGTGATCGGTGATGGTGTCTTCTCCAAAGAAGGTGCATATCTTCCTCGCTGTCTCCGTTGCATTTGAGCCTTGCTGGAACTCCCACAAAATGCACTGCCGAATAGTCACCAGGTGAAAACAAACCGGATAAGGGTGGAAGAGGCAGAATACCACACACAACACCTAAATGTTAAATCTCCCACAAATGCTCAGTGAAAATTGTATTGCTTCTAATTTGAATACCCCTTTTACAAGTATCTATTCATTTCTTCCTCATAATTACGGGGGCTGCTTTCATAATGTGCTCTGATAATGATCGAGAACCTAAAATTGACTTGGATTCCTTATTTCAGAATATAAGTGAGGACCTAAAAACATGGGACAACATTAGAACCAATCGTCGAACCCTCCGTGACGAGTATAACGTGGACGGCGATGAATTACTACGAAGTTTGAGCGACAAAAAAGTATTCACGGCCGACGAGGAGAAGCATATCCGTAGCAGAGGAAGCTCAAGAGAGAGATATGATGAGCTCTTTCAGCAGCTCTTTCACAAGAACCCAAAAATATATGTACTCGTCTTTCTCGAAGCGCTGACAGCCATTGGAAGGCAGGATGCGAGGGACTTTTTGCTTTCTTTGTGAATCAGATTTCTACATAATTTCTTTTTTTCTCATTCATAAACTAATTGATCTTGGATGCTAGCTGAAAAACATATGATCTAGTTAATATGACTTTCAGATATCTCCTTTTGTGTTATTATCTACTATAAAGTAAGAATCAATAACCACGTATATATCATCGACCATGAAGAATATGAGACATCGGTTTACCTCAAAGCCTAGTTCCTAAGCTTTATTCCTGGCGCACTTGAATTTTTTATTCTTCAAGAAAGTTCTTTAATATCGGATTTTCGAGTGTCACTGGCTCGAGTCGCAGAGGCTTTCTATTTACGTCACTCAACAACTTAAGTCACTTAAGCAATACGAATTCAATGTATTTCGATGATAAAATGAAACGTTTATTGTCTTCATGTATTCTGAAATATGTTCGTAGCTTATCATTTAGAGACTCATTTGACCTTAAAAATAAACACGTCTGCGACACGAAGCCATACATATTCAGACATGGCTAGACGCTGTTGGCAAAAAGCCGTTGTTTTCCACACGCACTCCCGATTCACACATCGGTCGCAATCTAACCGCTGGCTTGAATACGATGGAGGAGTACTACCATCATTGGCGCCTTCGCCCCAACCCGTCGAAGACAACCGTCCCCGCTTTTCACCTGAACAACCGTCTGACGAAGACGGAACTCAATGTTTCTTTCTGTGGCTACCAAGTGCGAAACGAAACACATCCAAATTACCTTGGAATGACACTCTACCGCAGCCTTACGTTTCGGGAACATCTCCAAAAGACCTGCGAGTAAACCAAGACACGCAACAACAGCGTGCTCAAGCTCGCCGGTAAGAGTTGCGGAGCGGATGATCGCACCCTACGAACAGCTGCCCTAGCCATCGTCTACTCCACAGCGGAGTACTGTGCTCCAGTGTGGTTTCAGAGCAGCCACACACGGAAGCTCGACTATCCTCAATTCAAGAAAGAGGACCATTACCGGAGCACTCTCGTCCACCCTCTGCCGTGGTTGTGGTGCTGTGGCCCGTACTATCGAACATTTCCCCCGCCTGAAATCCGAAAGTTGCCTAAATCCGAGAGTACCTAAATATTCCAAACGAGGAAGACCTCCTAGTCCACCAACACCTCGGACACCCACCACCAATCAGACTCAACTCGCGGAAACCGTTTTGGAAAACAGCTCGCGACCTAATGGCGGCGTCTTTCGGCGCTAAAGAGTGGAGGAAGATAGGGCGCAACTCTACCGTGCCAAATAATTTCCTCATCAAGGATCCGACTAGAGAACCGCCGGGCTTCCACCTGCCCCGGAAATTATGGACAACGCTGAACTGAATCCGCCAGGACCGTTCACCATTTGTAAAAATGGGAGTACGAAGACAATCCTGCCTGCGACTGCGGACATCCCGACCAGACCGTGGAACACAGAGTGGACCATTGTGATAAACGAAAATTTGACGGAGGAATCGCAACGCTACTTGCACTGTGGAAAGGACTCAGCAACCTGGCTAATGAACTTGGACCTAACTCTTTACCTTACTAATGCTATACGCGAGAAGATCCGATTCACAAGCGAATACGATCCCTGTATTCGTGTGTTAGTTTAGTCAGCATACCTTGTATCATCTAGAACTTGGAGAGCTTGCATAGCGCTCTTAGTATGTTGCAAGCTGGGTCATGAAAACACAAGGCCGAGCTTTGGTCGGCTTTCAAAAGCGTAATCAGCAGATTAAAGGGTGATGCACGCTGCGAAGTGATGCGATAAAACTGCACTACGACCGTCTGCGAAACATCATCCACACTGGTCGCAGAGTTCCCAATCGAAATCAAATGTAACTGTTTACTATTTGATTGCTCGTGATGCAACGCTTTTACTTTTTGTTGGTACGGTAGGTAGGTACGTCCTGTACATAGATCCGGTCATGAGATGGGAGAATTCTAGATCCTGGTGGAAAATATGACCACAGAAGACAAAGAGTGTTTTTCTCCCATGTCCTTGAGAATGTCTCTTGACCTGTTGAAGACTCTTCTTGATCTGCTGGAAGAGAGGGCAGGACACAAACTTCAGATCATGCATTTACCCGTGCAGATGGTGGCAGTGTCATGAAGTTGAGTAAATGCATATTCCATACATTCTGAATTTTTTCTGAATATCTCAAATACATACAAATCTCCTAAAGGAGGGGGCGACTCAGTTTTTCCACTCGAAGAACAATAACTTCTCAATAGATAAAAAAAAAATTAGAATCAGTTAAATGAAACTGGAAAATCATCGGGAACATAATTGATATATTTTAATTGAGAACTGTTGTAAATATGAATAAACACCGAGAGGTTGCAAAGATTTAGTTGTCATTTAACGAATGATGCAAGAAATTCCAAGTTCGATTATATAGATTGTCAGGAATGCACCCACAAAATCGTGAATTTTTAATGAGCAAAATCTATTACCGTGGCAATGATGTTTACATCTGTTAATGCATCTTTGCAAGTGTTGCCTGTCAATTTCTGTAAATAAAATCACTTGTAATGCATTGTAATACTGTTTTTAGCGATTCTTTGGGATGCCCCTCATGTGATAATGACTTGGTCCAAAATAAGGCCATTTCGCCTACATTTATATTGCCATATCTCTAAAAGTTCTTGCTTTACAGAGCTGCAATATGGTAGGTTAAGGGATTTCAATGGCCTCATAAGAGCTCATTCAGTTTTATGGACGTCGGACGGGGTCAGGTAAATGGTTGTCCTGATTTTACGTAGACTGACACGAATGGCGTAGAATAGAGCCTCGCTGGAGGTCGGCAACTAAACTCGTACGAAACTGATACCTGAGGGTGTCCGTTAGACGTCATCTCACCTTAAACGCTACCAAAATTTCAGATGGTCGAAGTTGTTGCAACTGTCGGCATTTCAATAGTCTCTAAACTATTGGTAGGTAAACGTCACCCGTTCTCCAAAAGATATTCCTAAGCTGAAAGAAATCATTAAGGAGTTCGACACCTTCCCTCAGGATATGGTTCAGAAGGCTCAGTCCTCAATCGATGCCAGGTTTGCATTGAGATTGACGGCAAGCAAATCAAGATTCACAAAGGATAATCTCCTGATTGTGATTGATGCTGGATGACGTTGTGGAGAGAAGGGGAACCACTTGAAAAAATACTTCCCATGGGATGAACGACGGCTACCTCCATGTTGGCTCATCCTGGGTAACGCATAAACCGTTAATTGGAAGAGGTCAACATATTCTGCTATCACATTTGAAAATTGATATCTCAGTAAGGAGGTGGGGTAGAATTATGAAACGTTCAGGGCTACTGGATCGAGGCCTAATCTAATGAATGATATTCTTTAAAGGACTTCATCAAATTGATAAGATCTTGATTTCAGAGGCGTAGGCAGAATGTGTTTTTCAACCTGATAGAGGGCTCTACGATAAACAAAACTCTGTCCAATATTTTGGCAAAGGTTGTTCTATATTGTCGTCAAATCTCATCAAGAATGGTTGGGTCCTCTCAGAGATATGAGCGTTCAAATATGTGCAATTTAAATGAAATGTCATGTACATAGGGTTGCAGTTAAAAAAGCAGCACGCTATATGGAACCACCTTCCAACCCTACCGAGAATGTTTCCCACAGCATTCCACTCTAACACACCTCCTCAGTGTCGGCGCAGACACGTGAGACCGCAACCACTGGAAACGGACCACCCAAATGAGGGGAATCCCTGGCATAGAAACATCAACTGCTGGCACCGTACATTGGCTCATACGACAGGGAAGAAGCAGTCAAACGGCAGAATCACGATTCCCAAATCACCTTTCTTTATTATAAGCTCCCGTCTCCCATTGCTTATACTTTTATTTTTTTGTCATCTACCAATGCGACTGCTATAAGGGAAAACAATGCGTCCTTTGAAGAACTCTCGCGCTTATCGGCTTCCTTGCGTCGCTCGTGAGCACTTTGAATGGACTGAGGGTGCTGCAAGCAGCGACAAAAGAGTGCGTTCATGTGCAATTCAGAACTTTTGCACTTTGAAATATGTATCGCCGCGAGGAAACCTGCGGTGATGGACTTCTTTGCGGAGCCCACGTGTGTACGGAAGTGGCGACGAACTGACGAATCCCCCCACATTTCATCATGGACGTTTGAAATCCCTGGATTCACGGCAGCAGGCGGGAGACAATGCAGTGAGAGACTCCCTCGTTCCTCTTTCGGGAACCAGGGCAGCTCTTGTTTCCAAGTGTCTCCAAAAGATGGCTAAACAAGAGCGATTCTGCGGTCCCAATGAAGATTGCATCCCCTCCCTTGCGTAAGACTTTTTTGCAAATGTCATTTTGCAAAGGCACATCCTCGGATGATTAGTAAGTTTTCTGGTAAAATCCAAGTTCATATCTCGCAGCGTTTAGTCTGCAGAGCTGTCACACACACACACAAACACGCATTTGTCGCTCGGCCTAGCTAGCCGTCAGGATCGCGTGAATTATATGTTTAACCTCCGGTTTGAAATATATGTTCGGTTAGTACCTCAAATTCAATTTTTAGGAAATATAATGAATATTGAATTTGTTCTTTACCTTTGGAAAAGTGTTTTAGATGTGAAGAATTTATCGAATCGCATGTTTGGTTATATAAATGGTTATATACAATAGTTGGGCGCCAACCCAACTATTAAGTTGGGTTGGCGCCGTCGATAGTCTTCTAGGTTTCATAACGCAATCACAGAACACCCTATGCCGTTTGCCGTTGGTGGGTTAGCATCCAGCGGGATTCCCTATTTATACTTTTTTCATGCTTTTTTTTCATGCTTCCAAATCGAGTGCAACTCTGGTTGGTGTTGTAGAGTCTGAGAAAATAAATTATTTCAGAATCGCCTCATTCCACGATCACGAATCGATGGGAAAGATGCTCAGGCATAACGATCGATCGACTTGGTTGGCCCTTTTTTTTAAATAACGAAACCCCCGAATCTCTCAGGGGACATTCACATTAAACCAGGTCTTGGTTTAACCAATCAATTTAGCGAAATGTGAAATGGGGGCCTTCTATGAACCCAGTAGAATGCTT